TGATGAACATTTAAGGGTAGCTGGCGGTGTGAATGGGGAGCGGCCGTGTGTTTGAGCCTACATGTGTGTATTTTATCTGAGATCTCGTGTTTTATTCATGAACTTGAAACTTGACGCCCGTTTATGACGGAAGGGGATTATCAAAATTTGTTTGCATTCCTTTGTGAGCGCAGCGAGGTATGATTGATCATTCATAATACTCTCCATATGTATGGTTTTATTAGATGTATAATTAATGTTTGTTTTGTAATGATGTTTGTAACCGTGAAACCAAGTGTGTGAAATTTTATATGTTTTCAATACAGTTTTCACGGTGCTGGTGATGATGAAGATGAGTTGAGCTTCATGGTTTGGGGAACTTACTAAAGGACACCTTATGCATCAGTCGAGACTCTCTCTTTTGGATCCAAGGGCTATGAATTGAGCTTATAGTTTATGTAATTAGCAAATGACATCTGTGTTAAATAGGAATATATTGTAATAATGTTAAAAGGCGTAAAGATAGAGCAAAACATCTTGGTTCAATCATTGATGATAAACTTTCCTTCCAAGACAATGTGGATTTTATGGGCTACATAAGAAAACTAGACAGCGTTTAAGTCTACTTAGGAAGTTAAGAAATCTTAACCATTGTTTATAGATCAATGATTGAAAGTGTTTTAATAATATTGTTTTTGAGAAAAGGGCATTATCAATATATTCAGCCCAGACTCATCCCCTCCATTCCTGCTTCGAGATCCTTCCTTCGGGGCGCAGGCTTATCCCTAATGTTTCAGAAACCCAAAAAGTGACCTTAACCCGACCATAACCCGAAAACTGGCTGCATGTAAGCGTAGTCATTGTCTGTTTCTCCCTATTTGATCCCCTTGTGTTTGCTGTCCTGTGCCATGTCTATACCTTGTGAGTAGCTTGTCTTAACGAAGTTGTGATCTTGTAAAATCCTGTCTTGTTCCTGTATAGTTTAATGTCAAAGTCTTAGTCTAGTGTTATTAGTCTTTATTTTCCCGACCAGTGTTGTTTGCCCCCTCGTGGGTTTTGTTTTCCCAGTTTTCTGTTATCAATAAACGTTGTGTGTTTGCGTACTTTCTGCAATTGGGTTCATCTGCTATCCACATAACAGTGTGTATTAATTATTTATTTCTTATGTGGTTTGTAACGTGGTGGTTGTGCCAGTGTCAAAGATGAATTTCTGTCCAGTACATCTGAACAGACAATGAAGTTAATCAAATCAAATTCGCATTCATGTTATTATGCCTATATATAGATGTCAGTCGGATATGGACTTGATTTATGGTAATTGAGAATGAACGTGCACGCGCATCCCATTTACGACAGGTTGGAATTCATTAACACACACATTTCACTATGACATCTGACGTTTACGATGTATTTGTAAATCATGAGAAGAGTTTTCGGGAAGGTCTCTTTACGCGCAAATCACTCTCATATTTACTCATATTTACATATTTATGAATGAGACTCACTGTGAGGAACTGCAGGCACTCCGGCCAACGGTGACGTCACGTCCCTCTATTTATAATTTCTGAACATTGAATCTCAGAATTTATTCCCCCTTTTCTCATGGTTTCTCAATAGAGTTCATACAAGTATAGAGTAGAAAAGCAATAATTCTAATCATTTGCTCAGTGACAACATGCCCCGCCTGCACAACTGGGACAAAGTTCTCTTAAATATGGGATTTAAACCCGGCTAGTCTGTCTTCTGCTGTCACACCAGCATTCAAGAACTATCTCAAGATATAAGATAAAATAATATCAGACTTGTTTAAAATTAACACAAGAAACTTACTTTTGCTATGGTTAAATAAATGTTCAGTAATATCTTAAATACATAGGCTATATATTTTTAATGTGTCGTCTTTCAAATCAATGCCAGTTGGAACTCCTAATCAAATGATAACATTAATTACTGCCAGGTGGTGGTTAATTAATTGAATTAACGAGATGAATGCGTTCCTGATCTATTAGAGTCTGAAGAGTGGCTTGATAAGGGTTAGTCTTGGCTGATCTGTCCTCATGGCTGTGAGGGAGATTTGTGTTTGGAAGAAGCTCATTTTCACCCTTTTTCTCTTTGCTGTTGATGGACTTAAAGAACCAGGTCAGTACCATTAGGCTTTGAAGTGAACAGAAGCATTCTGTTTTTATGTTGGAGTTGTTTCCTAAACTTTACAGATGGTGAAAATAAGCTTTGTGGACCATTGAAGCTTTCCTTCAACACCATTGCTACTCTTGGTTTGTTTGCCATCCAGTGATCAAATGGATGATGGTCCTGTGTTTTGTTTTTTTCTGCTTTGCTTTGTTTCTGGTTTAGATCAGGTGAGCTATTGGCTGATCTGAACCATATACTCTTTATCATCTTTACAGGACATCCACTTTAAGCCACAAAGTTGATATTCTTCACTGTTTGTTTGGAATTTCTCTCGCAGATGTAATGGTGTCTAAATCTGCAATGGTGTCCTTTTATGTTTGTAGTCGGCAGAGTCAGATTTGTGGACCTCCTGGTTCCTTATTTTGAACCTGGATCAATGCTTAATGGAAAGGTAAGCAAAATGTCATCCTTATCCCAGAAGCCTTCAAATTGTTTCCCTTTCCTAACCTTGATTATTCCTAACAGATATCCGTGACTCATTTTGATAAGACTCCAGTTGCAAACAAAGTGACGGTGTCGATATGGCTCCAGCAGTGCAGATTCTGGTCTACAGAGTTCTTCCCAGTGAGAATGCAGCTGTGCTCTCTTACCACCCTTGACTCCAGCGTGGACCATCGGCCATTCGGCCTCCCTCTGTTGGACATTACATCTTCTTCGCCATGGACTTGCGGCCCATTCGCTGCCCTACGGCTCTCCACCTCTTTCGCCTTTGAATAGCTCCGCCCTCCCTCAGGTTCTGCCTCCATCTATGGTTGCTGCAGCTCAGCCTCTAACCTCAGGATCGCTGCTTCCACTTCAGGGGTCGGCGCTGTGGCCTAGTCGCGGTCGCCTAGGTCTTTGTGTCTCACTGCCTCATTGCTTCTCTGGCTATGTGGTGTGCTCCACCTCCATCACCTCCGGTAATCCCCTTGGTAGTGTTGGAACTCTTCACTCCATGGCAACTCCATTCTGCGACGCCGCCGTGGGATATAGTCCTGACTGTGGGCTGGGTCTCCGTCTGCCCTTCCTTGCTCAAGGCCGTCTCCCTGGCTGTCACCACCACCTGCACCAACCTTTTCATGGTTCTCAGTCGTCCGTCCGCCCAAGTCGTCCGTCCGTCCGTCCCGTCCGCCCAAGTCGTCCGTCCGTCCGTCCCGTCCGCCCAAGTCGTCCGTCCGTCCGTCCCGTCCGCCCAAGTCGTCCGTCCGTCCGTCCCGTCCGCCCAAGTCGTCCGTCCGTCCGTCCCGTCCGCCCAAGTCGTCCGTCCGTCCGTCCCGTCCGCCCAAGTCGTCCGTCCGTCCGTCCCGTCCGCCCAAGTCGTCCGTCCGTCCGTCCGTCCCGTCCGCCCAAGTCGTCCGTCCCGTCCGCCCAAGTCGTCCGTCCCGTCCGCCCAAGTCGTCCGTCCCGTCCGCCCAAGTCGTCCGTCCCGTTCGCCCAAGTCGTCCGTCCATCCGTCCCGTCCGCCCAAGTGGTCCGTCCATCCGTCCCGTCCGCCCAAGTGGTCCGTCCATCCGTCCCGTCCGCCCAAGTGGTCCGTCCATCCGTCCCGTCCGCCCAAGTGGTCCGTCCGTCCGTCCGCCCAAGTCGTCCGTCCGTCCCGTCCGCCCAAGTGTCCGTCCGTCCCGTCCGCCCAAGTGGTCCGTCCGTCCCGTCCGCCCAAGTCGTCCGTCCGTCCCGTCCGCCCAAGTGGTCCGTCCGTCCCGTCCGCCCAAGTGGTCCGTCCGTCCCGTCCGCCCAAGTGGTCCGTCCGTCCCGTCCGCCCAAGTCGTCCGTCCGTCCCGTCCGCCCAAGTCGTCCGTCCGTCCCGTCCGCCCAAGTCGTCCGTCCGTCCCGTCCGCCAAAGTCGTCCGTCCGTCCCGTCCGCCCAAGTCGTCCGCCCAAGTCGTCCGTCCGCCCAAGTCGTCCGTCCGTCCCGTCCGCCCAAGTCGTCCGTCCGTCCCGTCCGCCCAAGTCGTCCGTCCGTCCGTCCCGTCCGCCCAAGTCGTCCGTCCCATCCGCCCAAGTCGTCCGTCCCGTCCGCCCAAGCCGTCCGTCCGTCCCGTCCACCCCGTCCGCCCAAGTCGTCCGTCCGTCCGTCCCGTCCGCCCCGTCCGCCCAAGTCGTCCGTCCCGTCCGCCCAAGCCGTCCGTCCACCCCGTCCGCCCAAGTCGTCCGTCCGTCCGTCCCGTCCGCCCCGTCCGCCCAAGTCGTCCGTCCCGTCCGCCCAAGTCGTCCGTCCGTCCCGTCCGCCCAAGTCGTCCGTCCCGTCCGCCCAAGTCGTCCGTCCCGTCCGCCCAAGTCGCCCGTTCGTCCCGTCCGCCCAAGTCGTCCGTCCGTCCGTCCCGTCCGCCCAAGTAGTCCGTCCGTCCGTCCCGTCCACCCAAGTCGTCCGTCCGTCCCGTCCGCCCAAGTCGTCCGTCCGTCCCGTCCGCCCAAGTCGTCCGTCCGTCCCGTCCGCCCGAGTCGTCCGTCCGTCCGTCCCGTCCGCCCAAGTCGTCCGTCCCGTCCGCCCAAGTTGTCCGTCCCATCCCTCCAAGGCCTTGAGCAGGGAAGAGCAGACGGACACCCAGCCCACAGTCAGGACTGCATCCCTCGGCGGCGTCGCAGAATGGAGTAGCCATGGAGTGAAGAGTCCCAACACTACCAAGGGGATTACCAGAGGTGATCGAGGTGGAGCACACCATGTAGCCAGAGAAGCGATGAGGCAGTGAGTCACAAAGACCTAGGCGACTGCGACTAGGCCGCGGTGTCGCAGAATGGAGTAGCCATGGAGTGAAGAGTGCCAACACTAGTCTCCCAAGTCTTTGAGGTGAAAAAATACGGTAAGTTGTTGTGTAAGGGAAGTTCAATGACAGATCTGAGGCCTTAATCTAAAGCACTTTGTTTCTGGTTTAGTTTTGCCCAAGTTTGACGTGACCGTAATCGCACTGCAGACCTACAGCGTTGCAGTTATGGGACTGAAAGTTGAGTCTTGTGCCAAGTGAGTGATGCTTTTATTTTCTTGTCTTGTGGTTGGTCAGTTCTTTATCTTGTTATGATGATTCCCAGATGTACATATGGCCAACCTGTACCTGGTCAAGCCTTAGTGGAAGTGTGCCGTGATCCATTTCCATACAGTCTGCTTCATAATGTGACCGGACAGTGCCTGACTCAAACTGCAAAGGTGTGTGACTCCTGCCTTACTACTGAGGGTTTTCCTTTTGCCTGTGCTTGACTTGATTGTGTCTTTGTTCTCCTACCAGATGAATGCCACGGGCACCAAATTTGAAGACCAAATGCAAGACACATTTCTTGTAAATGTGAATGTTACTGAGGAGGGAACAGGTGAGCTATTGGCTGATTTGAACCATATACTCTATCATATTTAGAAGATATCCACTTTAAGCCACAAAGTTGATATTCTTCACTATTTGTTTGGACTTTCTCTTACAGATGTAATGGTGTCAAAATCTGCAATGGTGTCCTTTACAAACAAAGCTTTATATCTCTTGGAGGGGAGCAACTGGCCCAACAAACTGCTGTTGAATCTAACCACAAACAAGAATGGACGGGCTGCGTTCTCCCTAAACACTGCTAATCTTAAGGCTGATCTGAATCTGGTGGTACGACTTGTATTTTGTAAAAATTAAGACATTCTCTCGTATGATACTGATTTAAGTTTTATCTTCCCCAGGCGAGTGCTAATCCAGAGTTTTTTTATGGTTATAAATCGCCATACTTCACTACAGATACAAGGTTTGTTCAGCTTCTCCTACCTGTTTCTCCTGACAACCCGTCGTTTAGTGAACTGACTATAGTGAAGCTCAATCAGCCGCTCAAATGTGGTGCTTCGTTTCCAGTGACCGTGGAGTATTCATTTGTTGGAGAGGCTGGTAGCTACAGCGATGACAATCTATATGGTGAGTGGACATTAGTTTTGTAGTTAAGTTTGCTGGTCTGTTTGTTCCACAACTTGCACACTTCTGTCTTCTGTCAGGTCTTATCCAAAGGAGTGATCATCCTCCATGGATTTCAGACGGTTATAGCAAAGGCTGGTGATTCAGTCACAAGTGGCTCTGTGACGTTCCAGTTGTCCGTCAGTGTCGATATGGCTCCAGCAGTGCAGATTCTGGTCTACAGCGTTCTTCCCAGTGAGAATGCAGTTGCTGCTAGTGTGCCGTTTGACACCGATATGCATTTCCAGAACCAGGTACTGTATGATGTGGCTATTTTTCAATTTGGGAGTGTTGGTGTGTGTCCTACAGCGTGTTGGTCCTTGTTCCAGGTGTCTCTGCAGTTTTCTACAGCTGTTCCTGCGGAGGGAAACGTTCTGATGGTTTCTGTTCAAGCAGGATCTCTGTGTGGTAGATCAGAGCATCTGGATCATGGAGCCAGGAAGACGTCTGAGTGCTGAAAGGGTGTCTGTGCCTCAATCAGGTTTTTTGTTTGGGCTTTTAATCTGGATATTTCAGTGTGTGGCACTTCTGATTAGAATGCCACTTTAGTTTACCCCAGTGTCTGAAGTACAAGGGCCTGAATTTTTATCGCAACTTCTGTGTCGGTATGTCTGTTAGTTTGATTCTTACTCTAGAAATTGGTACATGACTTAAAGATAAAATGAAAAAATGTAGTCTTGTGTTGTAATGGTCTATACTAGCTTTTGTTACTGAATGTGGTCTTTTAATATGATGGTTGGAAGGATGTCCGTCCGTCCGTGCGTGAGTCTTTCCGTCCGTGCGTGAGTCCGTCCGTCCGTCCGTCCGTCCGTGCGTGCGTGCGTCCTTCCGTCCGTGCGTGCATCCTTCCGTGCGTCCGTCCGTCCGTGCTTGCGTGCGTCCTTCCGTCCGTCCGTCTGTGCGTGCGTCCGTCCGTGCGTCCGTGCGTCCAAAGACCTAGGTGTCGCAGAATGGAGTAGCCGTGGAGTGAAGAGTCCCAACACTAGTCTCCCAAGTCTTTGAGGTGAAAAAATACGGTAAGTTGTTGTGTAAGGGAAGTTCAATGACAGATCTGAGGCCTTAATCTAAAGCACTTTGTTTCTGGTTTAGTTTTGCCCAAGTTTGACGTGACCGTATACGCACCGCAGACCTACAGCGTTGCAGTTATGGGACTGAAAGTTGAGTCTTGTGCCAAGTGAGTGATGCTTTATTTTGTCGTCCTGTGGTTGGTCAGTTCTTTATCTTGTTATGATATTTCCCAGATGTACATATGGCCAACCTGTACCTGGTCAAGCCTTAGTGGAAGTGTGCCGTGATCCATTTCCATACAGTCTGCTTCATAATTTGACCGGACAGTGCCTGACTCAAACCGTAAAGGTGTGTGACTCCTGCCTTACTACTGAGGGTTTTCCTTTTGCCTGTGCTTGACTTAATTGTGTCTTTGTTCTCCTACCAGATGAATGTCATGGACTGTGCCTCTCTTACTGTTGATACGTCAGTGTTTTTCAACACCAAATTTGAAGACCAAATGCAAGAAACATTGCTATTAAATGGGAATGTTACTGAGGAGGGAACAGGTGAGCTATTGGCTGATCTGAACTATACTCTTTATCATCTTTACAAGACATGCACTTTAAGCCACAAAGTTGATATTCTTCACTGTTTGTTTGGACTTTCTCTTGCAGATGTAATGGTGTCAAAATCTGCAATGGTGTCCTTTACAAACAAAGCTGTGGATCTCTTGGAGGGGAGCAACTGGCCCAACAAACCGCCGAGGCCAATGCCCCGTACTCGGACTTCTCCAAGGCAAATAATTTATGCAGATCAGAGAGTTCTCTCCTCAAGTCCATATACAGCAGCCACTGAGGGCAGGACAGTTCTGCCTAGAGATCAAGACGATTCTCCTCAGCCCATGAGGGCACTGTCTGTAGATTCACGAGGTGACCTTCTGCATTCTCATTCTGTCAGTCACAAAGAGATTGATTATCTCACAGACAATCTAGGAGACCTGAGACTACCAGGCTCGGCAACTCTGCTAACTTCAAGTCATCCTTTCTTTTCTTATGAACCAACTCAATCCCAACACAAGCTAGCCCATCAAGAAGATGCTATATATCCTCAACCTGGTATTAGGCACAGAGATAGACCACGTGGTTACTACAACACAGACCACAGAGGCCATTACTATATGTCCACTGACCAAAGAGATCGCAACCAATATCCCGCAGCTGTTCAGTTTATGCCTCAGGACTATAGTCAAGAGACAGCAGCTACGTATGGGACTTATAAAGATCATAGTCTGAACTGCAAACCCGTCAGCTATTTCCCTTCCACTGAACCATATGGTTATCAGCAACCTTATCATGGGATTCCAGCTACAAGTCCAGTCTATCAAGATGAGAGACTTTCTCCAAGGGTTACATTAGCTCACCATGCACATGAGAGACACTCAAACAGCTATGGTCAATCAGCTCCTAATCCTACAGACAAATCAAGCTTCTTGACCCAGCGACAGTACGCAGATTACGCTCAGCCTGAGACATATCAGTCATACCACCCAGTGCGCCCTCCTTTTCTTCCATATCCTCATGTAGAGCCCACCTACAGAGGTCCTATTCCCACCATTTCTGATTTTTGCAGTGAAGATCCCAGAGAGTTTGCATGACTCAAAATTGCACTGGAGAATTTGCTACCTACCGAGGCTACAGAACGTTTCAATTACCAAATACTCGTTGATCATCTGAAACAGGAGAATGCCTTGCTCATTGCAGACTCGTACGTCAACAGCAGGTACCCATACACCAACACCATGAGGTCTCTAACTGCACTTTATGGTCAACCACATCAACTCGCACTACAAAGAATTGCAGAATTGATGGATGGCCCAAAAATCAGGAGTGGTGACACTAAATCTTTGAGAATGTTTGCCCTCAATGTGCGTGCATGAGTTGGAATGCTGGACCAACTTGGAGCTAAAGGATGGACAGCTCAAATGTGGGTCGCATGTTTCACGTCTCCTTGTCAAATTGCCTCATGATCTTAAAGCAAACTTCAGAAGGTTTGTTAACCCCATTCAGAACCCAGTTCCGACACTGATAGAACTCAGCGATTGGCTTGAATATGAGCTCAGAATACAAGAGGATGAGTCACAGTACGTTAGTAATGTAAGCAGAGCCTACTCTCAGCCACCGAGAGAACAGCAAAGGAATTGCAAGCCGGTTCAACGATTTGCTACTGTCTTGGATGGTGGCGAACAGAGTAAACCAACAAGTGTTACAGCAGTCAAGAAGGAGAAACTGACAAAGTACTGCCCCTTCTGCAACACTGTGCAGCATTACTTCAATCAGTGCGCCAATTTCAAACTGCTGAATCAAGATCTTGGCTGAAGTCAAATCAGAAGTGCTTTACGTGTGGCTGTGACCACCAGATCTCACAATGCAATCTTAAAGCCAAATGTGAAAAGAGACATTTAGAAATACTGCATGACTTCAATGCCAAAGGTAAACATGAAACACAAGCTTCAGCAGAAAACGGTTGTCTTGTGAACTCAGAAGTAGAGACTTTGTATATGGACAGACCAACTGCAGGCAGCAAAGTTCTTTTGAAGGTCAGCCGAGTGATCTTGAGAAATGGAGAGAAGGAACTTGACACATACGCTATATTGGATGACAGATCAGAGAGGACAATGTTACTGTATGAAGCAGCACAGCAACTTGATCTTCAAGGACTTCCTGAAGATATAGCCCTCTGGACTGTGAGACAAGACACACGGGTTGTTCATGGGGTGGCTGTTTCATTCTCAGTAGCTTCTGCATTTCAGCCAAACAAATCCTTCACTATTGAAAGAGCTTTTACAGCCAAAGAACTGAGCCTCACAAAACACTCTTACCCTGTTAAGTTGCTGCAGAAGAAATACAGATATCTGCAAGGTCTGCCCATTCCCTCAATGCAGCAGGCTCAACCATTCTTACTTATTGGCTCAGATTATCCACATTTAATCACAGCTACAGAGCCAGTTCGTCTCTGACCTCCTGGCGGTCCTGCTGCTGTGAAAGCCAGACTCGGGTGGACTCTGCAGGGCCCCTCAATTGAGATGGCGCCATAGCCAGATTCTAATTGAAAATTTCTGGAAATGTTTCATTCGGCATTACCTCCCCGACTTGCAACGACGACAAAAATGGCAAAGAGAACCAGACAACCTTCAAATTGGTGAAGTTGTGGTGATTGTGGACTAGCAAGCACCCAGAGCCTTATGGCAAACAGGTACTGTAGCCAAAGTCATTCCCGGACAAGATGGACGAGTCCGCACAGCGGTAGTGAATGTCAAAGACAAAAGTTACACGAGGCCTGTGGCTCGTCTGATTAAACTGCCTGCCCTACCTGATGACACCAGCAAAGACTAATAAGCCTTTTCTCTAATTACAAATTCGTTAAAGAAATTCGGGGGCGGGTGTGCAAAAGGCTAAGCTTCAATGACGCTGGTGCCCTCTGCTGGAGATTTAATTTGTTGCACTTTAGTATATACTTATTTCAGAATCAATTTTCGGACAAACATGTGGCACACCTGAACCCAGCAGTAGGGGAGGGATGCAGGTTTTGTGGAGAGGAAGAAAATCTAGAACATTTGTTTTTAAAATGTTAAAGACTGGAAGGTCTTTCTGAAGTTCTTAATAGATTGTTTCAAGTTTTGGTGAAGATTTCTCAGAGGAAGTTTTTATAGGGGGTGTGAAATATAATTTTTCAAAAAGAAGGAAGATGTGTCTGTTAAATTATTTAACAGGAACTGCGAAATTGACAATATGGAAAACCAGGAAAAATCAAGGATTGCAGCATAATAGTATTAATGTTGAAGTGATGTTTTTGAAATTAGTGGCTGGTAGACTAAAGATAGAATTTGCATACTATAGTCTTGTAAATAATGAGAAGGGTTTCAGTGATATGTGGTGTGTTAATGATGCTTTGTGTTGGTTACGATGGAAATTTGGTTTTGGAATTTTAATGTGTTTTTTTTTTTTTCCATATATACAAATAATGTTATTTGTTGAATATTAAGTGTTTTAAATAAAGTTTTGTAAACCTCTCTCTCTCCTCTGGTGCGCAATCTAAACTCAAGTGTGTTTTGTAACGGTCACGGGTGACAAAATCGCTCAGTAAACGGAACCTTCTTGAGAGTCCTGAGTTTCCTAGGGGAACGTATTGGGTGCAACACTCCACTACGGTTCCGGGTGTGATGGAAACATGCCCGTACTGATTAGCGCTAATGCATTGCAGGTGTGAGAGAGAGAGGAGCGGCGCTCACACACTTATGAAACACCCTGTTTCATAAGCCACGATATAAAAGGGGCATTCAGAGAGTGTTTGGGGCGCGTTCGGTGGGTGTACAGAGTGTCAGGAGTCCAAAGGTATGACAAGATCAGACATTAAAGTGGTTCTGGGCAGTGCTGGATACAGGCTTCCTTGGAAAAATCGTTGGGGTGTGGAGATCACCCATTTGAGGCTGCTGGGTCAGAGTGATCGTTTGTGGGAAGACCGCTGGACCGAGCTAGGACTGGATCTGTGCTGTGGAAGGAGAGAGGAAAGATAAGTGAATTGTTTTCATCTTATGAACATTTGAACCGTTTGAAGAGGATACAGTGAATGTGGATCTGACTGTTGGAGGAGCTATGTGTTTCAGAGTGTGATGAGGAGGAATTAAAAGTGAAACCCCTGTAAACGAGCGCAACGGACGGAGTGGGGCCTCTGTCCAACCCTATCGTGAGAGTGAATTGCAGTGCTTTTGCCTTATTGATACACATTGATTTATTGCTGTGGAATTGAAGTGAACACAAGTGTGCTGTGTCTTTGTTGAGAAGTGGCCCTTATCCATGCTTACATGTTCGTGGAAGGTTATTATATCTGCCCCCCGTCAGAAGCCCAGAGTGATACAGTGAACTGAAGAGAGAGTACTGTGTACTGTGAATATCCCCACCTGTTCTACGTGCTGTTTGAGCCCAGAAGCACACAGCATCGCTGGTAAAGTAACCTTATGACTCACTGTCTCCCTATTGTGAACTGAAGAGAGAGTACTGTGTACTGTGAATATCCTCACCTGCCATACTTACTGTCTGAGTCTGGAAGTCTGCAGCACCGCTGGGGGAAGAGTAAGCTTTTAATCCACTGCTTCATTACTGTGCACCAACGAGAGAACCCTGTACTGTGAAGAATCCTTACCTGTCCTACTTACTCTTGGGTCTGGAAGTCTGCAGCACCGCTGGGGAGAAGTAAGCTTCAACCCCCCTGGTCCATCATCGTACATCGACGAGAGTATCTTGAACTGTGAGAAACCCTTGGTGTAATAAAGATTGTTACTCCTTTGAAACTTATCTCTGTCTCCGGGTCCTCTGTTGTGTGCCTGTGGTGTCGGCTCCTCACGGTGGTGACTCAGTTAGAGGGGGGTGGTTGGTCACCCGAGCGTTCCTCCCCTCGACCTGTGACATCACCATAGTAACTTTGATCTGTTTGAATATTTTTATCGTCTTTAATACATGATTCTAAAGGATGAATTAAAATACCCGGTATTTTTTTTTTTAAATAAATAATAAATTATTAAAGGTGCATTGCACAACATTTCATGTTCAAAATAGCCGTTTTCTAACCCATACATGCTTAAACACTTGCCTGATGGGCTGAATGAGCCCTTCTCTGATCACTGAGATCGCCTCTATAATCCTGTACAGTAAAATAAATTAGAGGGATTCGGGCTCGAATCTGAGACTGGCAGTGACGTCATGCGCGTTCACGCTCTCCTGGCTATGTGCCTATGTCTTGCAGGGGGAGTGTATTCGCCACCATTCTCCGTATCAGAGAAGACAACTCGAGCGACACAACTTTAGTTAACTTTTCACAAAAGTTGAAGATGGATTCAAAGTGGCTGTTTAGCCTACATCTGGTCACTTCATGCGTTTTCTGTGATCGGATAGCTATTCGATCGTGAAAAGACCAGGTTGCCCTCCGAAATGCATTCGAGACGGATTTGAATCCGATCGCTCAAATCACTTGAGGACGTGGTCTGGGCCGTATTCCAGACAAAACTGGACAAGTGTAAATGCATCTGGTTGTTGAAAGCAGGCTATAGGTTATGTTATTTTAGTCATATATGACGACGCACATCACCTCAGATGAGCAGCTGAGCGTCTATTCATAAAGCCAGCGCGCCGCAATCTATCGCAAATCAAAGTGAAAGTAAGTCGCAGACTCTTAACACTACCATCTTCATTAAAAGTAAAGAAATGAAATGATCTTACCAGGGCTGTTGCCGCTCTCTCTTATTACTGTCTTTGCTGATTTTGAAATTAGCCGATGATTAATAAAATACAGCTCACATCTGTTGCTTTCGGTGACGTGCACTTCATGAATTCTGTAGCCTATATAGCGCGGGAATTGAAGATCAGATTATATCCGTTTTGCAAAAACACATTTTTGTTTGCAGGTGTAATGGAGTCGTTTTGATAAATCAGATAGATATCCGATCTGAGAAAACGCATTGTGGCCAGGCGTAAACAGCCCCAAAGAGACCGGCTTGTAGTTCATTCCAAACCCCAACGCAAACTCCACATGAGACAAAGAAAATATAACTTCAGTCTGTCCAGTGCCGGTCGTCGGAATAAGACGAGAGTCAACATCGGGAAGGCTTTCAACAAACTGAGAGATCTCCGGTCGGCTCTAGGGCTCAAACGGGTCCTATACAAAGTAATAACTTATATTGTTCATGAACGTGTTTCCATAATTATAGGATACAGTAAGCAATTAAAACAGTTCAATATAGAGATAGATGGAAACTTGTTTTCTACTACCCCTGTTTTCCCCTCACACACACACACATAAGTGTGTACTCGAATGCCTTTCCTTTCATATATTTTAAATGACCTGCAGATTTATACCTGTATTACCTCATTATGACCGTAACAAAATATGTGTGCCGGCTGATGCTCCTTTGGTTATGAACAGCTCGTGCAAACGTACAATAAGTATGTGTATGTGTGTGTGAGCGCGCACGCAGTTTCACTTGTCGCCAGAGGGGCGTAGTTCTGCAAAAACTCAGATACTTGCATTTAGCTCCTTTAAAATTTAATAATAATAATTATTAATTTTTTTTCTTTTTTTTTTTTAAGGATCCGGGGCTATAAAAAACATATCCGGGGCTGAAGCCCTGAATGCCCATGTCTAACGACGCTCCTGGTCTGTATCATGAGCAGTGAAGGGAGGAAAGTGCTT